CAGGGAGTCTCAGCCCCCCCCCCCCCCCCCCCGGACGACGGCGGGCCGATCAGACCGCTCCCACCCCGGCGCTGGAGCGGCGCGCACCCCGGGCGCCGTCCGTCCCACGGTCTGCGCCAAACCCACAGCGGCAAACATGTTTAGCCGACACCCGGGTCGGCACTATCGCCCAGCCGGGACCGGCAGATACAGAGCGCGGCGGCCAGCGCTGTCACAGGCCGGTCCCGACAGTGGCGGCGACGACCGGTCGCACGCCACCGTCCGACCCGCAGCCGCGCGGCCTCGAGGCCGGTTGTAACCGGTCAGCGTCGCCGGCCGGCCCCCTGCTGGACCGCAGACACCACATCCGGGCGGGCACCACGGGCGAGGAGCCGGGCGCGGTCGGCTGGCGAAATCCGACGCCACCAGTAAGGACGGCGGCGGCGGCGGCGGCGGCGCTCGGCCCAGAGCCCCAGAGCGGCGGAGATCTGCGCCAGACGCCGCCGGCCACCATTGCACGTCGGCAGGGCGCAGTGCGGCACGTGGCACGGCGGCGGCGCAAGCCTGGCTGCCGGCGCGCGTCACGTGGTCACACGACGGCGCGGGGAGACGCTGCCCAGGCGCCCCCCCCCCCCCCCGTGGCCCCTGGCGGCGGGCGGCGCCAGGCCGGCCGGCCAATCACTCATCAGCTGAGTATTGGCACAAGCAGCCGCGCCATCAAATGAAGCTCACACAAACTTGCAAAGTTTGCACAACGAAGTCTTCATAGCAGGTATTGATCTCGTTATCTTTAATCGATGTACCGCTTCGCTCACACAAACTTGCAAAGTTTGCACAACGAAGTCTTCATAGCATGTATTTATCTCGTTATCTTTAATCGATGTACCACTTCCCTCACATGACCACACGACACGTCAGCGGTCATGTTAGCGGCTTGGTGCAAAGTGCCGAATGTTACTGGAGTGGCGCACAGTTCTTGCACTGATGTTACTTGCCATTTTAGGACGTAGCGGCGCCAAAGTGCATTGTTGTCGCACTCCTTCACGCGATTTCAGCGAAGATCGCCGAAACATAGCACGCATAGCCAACGAAACATAGCAGAGTCATACAGTCTGAATTCCCAGCCCCAGGTTGTAAGTCTGGCATTTTTTTGCTCAGCAGTGACCGTACTCAGTTTTTGCGCCATTGTATCTGGTACTGCAATGAAGTCTGCCTTTCTCATCAGCCAACCATCGATTGACCTGCGACGACGAAGGGTGAGATGAAGAGGTGCTGTTCCGAAGTTAAACATCTTGTAATCCAGGCCACCAGAATTAGCATGCATACACTCGACGTCCAACTGTTTGGGTTTATGGTCGAAAATAGTGTTCACTCAGCCCTGCAGCGATGATAGCATCCGTCAGAATGAGCGATCCCAGTGTGTCATCAGGCACGCTTGTATTTGGCTCTGGGTCAGGATAGCCTACCATTGCAGGCCTGACAGGAGTCACTTGTCCATTTTGCTGGAACTCCCGATGGTTCTTTGGCAGAACGCGGCACACCAGTATCTTTCCGACACGAAAAACGGTACGACACCATCGTCGCCACTAGATCAAACGCAGCCTTCGGACCGCAAGCTACGCAGCAACATACCAGCCGTTTTTTTTTTTTTTTTTGGTGCCCAGGACAGACGCACGCGGACGGGACAAAAATACAAGGTTGAAGGGCGTGAGGCCTACAAATTGACCAGCACGGCTATCTTGCAGCGTCGTCGGCACAACATGCTGCGTAACTATCTTGTGCGGATTCACAGCCGAGAACAGATAGAAATCTGACCCATAAGGCGAGGAAACACATCTGCTGTCCTTTGAGCTCGCGCGAGCACGTGCTTTCCGATACCCTGACAGAGGGTTGCATCGAGCGAAATCAGCCAAATGTTTCTCTTCAGCACAGACCGTCTTGCAACTGATGTCTGCCCGTGCCTCGCCCGTGCCTCTGTGGGTGACACCGCCAGTACAGCAACGACGATATCTCCGTGCGACGCCAGGCTTGGACCGGAGCCGATATCCGACTCCTTGTTAAACACTTGCTCCCGCGGTCGGCGGCGCGCTTCTGGCGGCGGCGCGGTCCGGTCAGACCTGAACCCAAGCCGGGCGAGCGGCCCGGGCAGCCGGCGGGGGCGCAGCGGCGTCGACCGCGCCGGGACAGGCCGGCGGCGGGCAGCCACGCCGCGCGCGGAGCCGCCGGACGCCGCCGGCGCGGTCCGCACCGCGGCCGAGCGGCGACCTCCCAGGAGCGCTGGAGGCGCCTCGTAGCGAATATCACATGCGGAATCCGGTGACGGGCGTCACTGAACCAACCACGTGTGGTACCTAAACAAACCAAGCAGCTAGCTCAGCTGCCTCAACACATCTGGGGCCAGAGATCAGCACCACAGACGCATCCAGAATGCCTGACGATTTGTACATGGTTGGAGCGAGGAATTGCTCACCATGTACCACCGCTGCTGAACAAGAACTAAACGAAACCCCGCACCCGGCTCGTGATTGTCAGCGACTATCGATTTCATGCCGAACGGGTGATCCCGCGGACGGGCCCGTGGTCACGTCGACACGGCTGCCACTCACCCGCGGGGTCCTGCAGCCGCATGAGGGCGGCGAGCCGGCGGTCGTCCTCCGTCTCGGCGACGAGCGGCATGTCCAGCGAGGAGCGGCGCAGCAGGTCGGCGTCCTGGCGGCCGCCTCCGCCGCCGCCCGCTTACCGGCCTGCGGCGGCCGACACACGGCTCCGCGTCACGTCACGGCTAGGAGGGGGGGCTGTCGGGGGTGGGGGCTGTCCGGCGCTGGCGTGGCGGACAGGCGGACAGGCGGGCGTGGCCAGGGCCGCACGCGCCGCCGGACAACTGCGGCGTTCACCCGGTTTTGGATGGAACCTTGCCAGACAGACCGAGCACGACTTGCATCAGCTGGCGGATTTTGAGCGGTCAGTGAATCCGAGGCAAACACAGGTCGGCAGGCGTCAGCACGCTCCATCCCACACACACAGTCAGAAGTGGTCCCCGAGTCATGTCAGCGTGAAATACATCGGAGCGGAGTCGAAGCTCGTGATAGGAATCACCAGTTACGACAACTGAGGCTTAGGGACGTGCCGACGGCCAAGGTCATTTTACATCCTAACTGGTTAGCATCAAACCCCAGTAATCTGCAGCTTCGCATCGACTTCAAAGGATAGTCACAGCATTTGCTCGGCACGCGGCGATTGTGTCCTTACCGGCGCATTGGTAACGCCTAACACAGGATGGGACATCCCGTCCCGGAATGGGCGCTTTTGGCACATAGCGCACTTGTTCTGAGCCGCCTGGCCGCAAAAGCATCTCCCTATCCGATGCGTTTCGATATACCCACAAACGTCGTCCGCAACAACATCCGCCAAAACAGGCGGTGTGCATTAACGGCACTGGTTCGCTATCATCAAACCCTCTCAACGCCTCGCTGTTACAAACCCTGAACTTGTCCCTGAGGAATTTGTTGGCGGCGAAGTCGTCCCAAAGTCTGTCCTGGACGGCCTCCAGCCGCTGCAGCGCGGGCGTCGAGCTCTTCAGCTTGTCTACGTCGTCGGCGCCCGTGCTCTAGCTTGAACATGGCATCGGTGGACAGTTTCTGGATCTTGGCCCGCTCGTCAGGCACCACGGTGCCGTTCTCGGCCGGGTCGAAGCGGCGCTCTTGGCGCCGGGCGCCCGACAACACCTCGTAGTCCAGGTTCTGACGACACGGACAAGCCGTTCACAAGCTGGTGGTGACGCCGAATCTCTCGAGTCCAGAAGCTACCCCGTGGGACGAGTTTCGGATCCTACACCAAAACGCCCAAGTTCTGAAGCGAATCGAGCGACACCAAAAAGTTCCGAGTTCTCACCGTACGATGTAATGTGGTGTATGTAGTCGTACGTCGTCCTAACGTTCAGGTCCTGGACACGCAGTGCGGCCGGCTTTGTGATACTTACCGCTGGATCTGTTTTGATGACAAAGTAGTTGTCACACAGGTGGCATTTCATCCGGAACTGATACACCGGAGTCGTGTAATACATTCCAATCTTGGATTTCTCGGCGTTGTACCTGAAATCGCAGCTTTGTCACAAAAAGTCACCACGATCACGAGGTGTAGTCTTCACGGTACGCTGAAAACTATGGCGTTATAATGGCATCGGTGCAGCGGAAACAAGCGTGATACACAAACGTATTCTGCACAGACGACAGACTTCCCATCGCAAGGTGGTCACGTTTGCCTGAAGTTTGATACTGAAATCACAACACGTGTGCACAAATAATCACCCCTTATCACGCCGTCCGGGGGCTGAGGGCCTTTGACGTTGCGTTGTAGGCCCCGAGAAGAACACGGCGCAGCGCTCATCAAGCCAGGATCCGCATCCTTCCGGCGGTTTAACGTCGATCACAATGAACCTAAAGAAAGCTCAAATTCTTACAAGACTCTCCATTTGGCTGAGACCAGCCACACCCACAAGACTGATGTCATTCTCGGTCTACAAAGCATGTTTTTTCAGCAACACCTCTGCGGTGCCCTGCCATTACCAATGGCTGAAGAACGACTCCTGGCGGCGTAATGACACGTTTCAGCAGCTCACCCGAGAAGAAAGCAGTAGATTAAGGCCACACTGACTCGCACCGCCCGCGGATGGCGGCTGTCTCCAAGCCTGAGAGCCATGATCTCAACTGCTTCAACGCCGCGGCTTCTAGCGGAGACACCATGCCCGGCTCTAGCCATCAGCAGCAGAATCATGAACCACGAGACGCAGGCAGCTGTCTTACCTGACGCCCATGCCTATGTGATTTCCGCATCCGTCGCACCAGATGTTGTACGGCATCTCGAAGCGGATGACGAGGATGCCCAGGTGCAGCTTGCGGGCACGCTCGCGCAGCGCGTGCGTGCCCTGGAACTTGTTGAGCCCGCCCTTGGAAGGGTCATAGTCGGGCGGGTAGTACTTGTTGACGCCTTTGCGTTCTCCCTGGAAAAGACATAGCCGCGGGCTACATACGAGGACACGGACGAATACGCCCTTGACAGGGCATCGGACAGTTTCTACTAAGCACAGGACTGTATCATCATGCCCACGGAAAAAGCCTGCCCACCGTCACTGGTAACACCAAACTGTAAACATAATCGGTATGCACGAAGGAGAGAGTAATTCCGCTGGTCTGGGGTTTCATATGTAACGGCAGGCGCACATGACCTGAAAACGTATACGATGGGGAGTGCCGGGAGTTGGGGATGCTGGTATGCATAGTGAGGTTGGGAGGGACTTCGAAGCAGTGCTGGCCAGGCCTTCTTTTATTTGTGCCAATCCTGTCTGTGGCTCTCCCCGAGTTCGAATCTTTTGTTGCCATTCCTTCGTGTTGACTTTGTTAATGTCAAGCACCTGGCCACCTATAGTATTAATGCTGAACCCCTTTGTACGTCGCTAGGAAGGAGAGAGAGCAGCCCTCCTGGTGACCTCTTCACCGGGCAGAGAAACCGGGCCTGGACCAAGACGGGAGTGAACCTTACGTATGACACTGTTAAGGCTGGCAATATCGTTAGCAATCGCATGCGTTGAGCAACAAAATATGGAAAGCCAGAAAACTCGCACCCTGGGGAATCTGACGTCAACGCGAGTGCTCCATGCGCACTGGTCACACCTGGCCACACCTGGAACAATACCGTTTAAATCTCATGATCTCACCGAAGCTGGAGCACCCCGTCAACTGAAACTAGTCCCCGATCGGCCGGTCGCTGGGGGAGCCTTGGACTTTCGCCCGGCTCGGCCGGCGCGGCGCCGCCCAGCGCCGCCGCCAGGGGAGAGGAGGGCGCGGGAGAGCGGGCGAGCCGCGGTGACAGTCAGCGGGCGGCGGCGGCAGCGCGATGGCCTCACACAGAGAACGAGCAGCGGCCGCCAGGCGGACGCGCAGCCAGAGCACGCCGGCCGGCGCCGGCCCCAGCGACGGGCTGCCGCTGGGGCCGGCGGGGCCGCGCCAGCAGCACCGCATGCACCGCAACTCGCTGCCCACAATACCGCACTTCTCCAACATGAAGAACAAGCGCAAGTACGTGCGCTTCAGTTGGCGCGAGAAGAAGATCATCTGCAGCGTGGTGGTCGGCAACCTGCTGTACGGCTGCATTGTCGGCGTGCTGGTGCCGTTCTTCCCCAGCGAGGCAGAGCGGCGCGGCGTGTCGCAGTCGCTGGTGGGTGGCGTGTTCGCCGTCTACGCCTTCACACAATTCGCCGTGGCACCACTGGTCGGCAAGCTAATCCCCGTGCTGGGCGCATCACGTGTCTTCCACCTGGGCCTGGGCACGGCCGGCGCCTCGACGCTGGTGTTCGGCCTGCTGGACTATATCGGCGACCCCAACGGCTTCATGGCCGCCTGTTACCTGGCGCGCGTGGTGGAAGCGATCGGCACGGCGGCCTTCATCACAGCCTCCTACACGATCGTGGCCAACCAGATCCCGGACAACATCAACCTGCTGGTGGGCACGTGCGAGACCATGTGCGCCGTGGGTCTGGCGGCGGGGCCGGCCATCGGAGGGGGCCTGTTCACCGCCGGCGGCTACGGCCTGCCGTTCTTCGTGCTGGGCGGCGTGATACTGGCTGTGACGGCCGTCACCTGCTGCACGCTGCCATGGGTCGGCGGCGACCCTCAGCGCGTGCACGTGCGCCAGATGTCGCAGAAGATGATGCGGTCTTCCGAGGTGTGGCTCAACGTGGTGGTGCTGCTCTTGGTGGCTGTCGACTGGACGGCGCTGGACCCTGGCCTGGCGCCGTTCGTCACCGCCGAGTTGGGTGTCTCGCCCGCCCAGCTCGGCCTCTTCTTCTTGCTGGCCAGTGGCACCTACGCCGTCATCGGGCCCGTCTGGGGCAAGCTGTGCGACGACCTGCCCAACAACTACGTGCAAATGACGGCCAGCCTGCTGCTGGCCGCCGTCGGTCTGATCCTAATCGCGCCCACGGCCGTGCTGCCGCTGGCGGCCCAGCCGCTCCCTGGTGGCGCTTGGCATGACCATGCGAGAGCTGTTCCTGGGCGGCGCCTTCATCCCCACCTTCGGCAACATCCTGCGCGCCGGCGGCGAGGTCGGCCTCACGGACGGGCTGGCAACGCAGGCGTACGTGTCCAGCATCTGGTGCAGTACCTTCTCCATCGGCAACACCATCGGCCCGCTGGCGGCCGGCGTGGCCACAGACGCCTACGGTTTCCCGGCCACGGTGGCGGCGCTGGCGGCGCTCACGCTGCTGCTGGCTGTGCCTGTGGTGCTGCAGTGTCTGCGCCGCTGGCGTCAGCTGCGCGTCGCTGCCATCGACGCCGACATAGAGCGGCTGACGCGGCTGCGACCGACGCGCAGCGACGACGCCGAAGACACGGAGCGCACGCCGCTGTGCTGGCGGCGGTGGCGCCGTCGGCCGGCGCCGCCGACACGGCGCCGCCGCCGCCGCTGCTGCACGCGACGCCGCGCCGGCCGGACGCGGCCGCCGAGCCGGACCGGCCGCCGCTGCTGCAGCCGACGCCGCGGCACTCGACGCCCGACCGACCGGCCGGGCTGCAGACCATACCGGACAGCGAGTAGCGATGCTGACGACCCTGACCGCCGCCAGCACGGGACGGCTCGGGACGGGACGGGGCGCGTGCCGCAGCCGGCACGAGCCAAGGCGACGGTGCGCCGGGCTGAGACGGACGCCGCCGACGGGACGGTGCTCAGTGGTGTTGAAGGCGGTGCTCCGCGTTTACGGCTGGCCTCCATTGTGGTACCGAATGACACGTTGTTTTGTAAATGCCACCCCAATACATGTCACAATTGAATGCACCGCGCGGTTGGGGCCTACGTAACCAGAACGTGACAGATATATTATCTGTGCATCTGTGCAGCACTCGTTCTGTGCATTATGCACATAAATAACATGGCAGCTGGGACAGAACATGGCATCTCTGATGTGAATGATTTGAAGTCCTGGCCCGGGATTCACGGGAGGAGATTGCATACAGGATACTCTCGGCAACATAGAACTAAAGATGTTTCATTGGTGAACACTCCTGCATGTCTGGACAAGCCACTAATACCCGCCAACAAGTGCAGACGAGCAGTAAACTTGATTGCATCGGACCAAACATCCGTGACCTTAGACATGACCGTTCAGCAGGTGAGACGACGACCTCCGGGACCGCCAAACTATCTCAGGCTAACCGTGACCTCTCTTCGTGCAGCAGGTGAGCAGGAAACAGAGAAGAGAACCAATGAACTGCAGGGTCGGCGGCCACGCGTGCGTCGGTCACGCCTGTCCAGTGATTTCAAGCAGCGTTGGTGCGGCTGGGTTGGTGCGTGTCAAGCTCCAAGCCTTTCCACAGGTCGAACACCCCCCCATTGGCATGCGTGGACTCGGTTGTAAGGATTCATACTCGGGATGCCGATGCGCAGATAACGTAACAAAACAGGGACAACTTGCTCATGGTTTGCTGTTCCGCGCACGACACTCCAGAAGATAGGGGAGGCCCCCGGCTTTATCTGCTGAGTACTCGAATCTAAAGGATAATGCCACCCTTGAAGTCTGTCACAAAATCTTTGCAAGGTCGACTCGAGACTTGCTGGCAATGAGCTTGACATTGGAAGCGCTTCTCGTTGACTGAAAACAAAATGAGCATATCAAAAACTAGGTTACGTATCTTTCATGCCTAAAAGGCCCATTAAAGCCAGACAGTGCTACGCGATGACGATATGGTATAAGCAGAGGATTTTTGGAAACATTTGCCTCAAAACCCACTGTAAAATCCAGTAGCCCAGCATTGACCAGTTACTACATTTATGCGAGGCAATGCGTCCATGGCGGCCGAAACAGCTAGTCAAACGAATCATGCTCAGGACGCCAAATGATACCTCCATGGCAGCAGACACAGCCAGTCAAACGAATGATATTCGAACGCCAAACGACGATCAAACTGTCACCTGAGTAAGTCAACCTAGGTCGCTGGCGGGCCTGTCACTGAAACCCACACGCCGAGCGCTGAATGACCGCTGCAGTCGACGCGACTCTCAAACCCCAAACTCGCCGCTCACCGTCACGGGTTATTGACAACCGTCTAGCTCCTGACAGCAAACGCTCCAGGCACCGCGATCTGTCTTGGTTGAAATGCCTAACCCCAAGGCGACCCCAGCTCGGGACGCTGCCCCGGAGAGGGAAGGGGGGGGGGGGAGCTAGCGCTGACACCGCAGGCCAGCCGCGATTCCCGCCGAGTGCGACACGAGCGTATTGATCTCACATGCATCGCGACGCGACCCCCTCCTGACTGGTTGCGCCGAAGGATTGACCAAGGACTTGGCGGACCGTCAGATTCGTGAGGAGCTTATTGAGAAAGATGAAGACCAAACTGCAACACGCAGTTTCATGCCAGAAGCCGCATCGCAGTTACGTGCAGCATCAACGCCACACATGGGGGTCCAGCAAGGGCCATCTGGTAAACGGGCCGAACATTCCATAAAGTACGATTGTAATCTTACTGCTCAGTTACGCGCACAGTTATTGCACGACAAACAGCAAGGTCCTCCTAGCACACGGAAGCGAGCAACGCGTGGGAAAGAAGATCAGACCATTGATGCGGCGACGCTGAGCTCTGTACCTGCTGAGTTCGCCCGCGTCCCTATCCAAGGAGTCCCGTGGCATCGGGGCGGCAGGCTGCGGCGATCCGACAACAGATATACGGTGCTCTTTTAGAAGTTGAGCAGAGCAATCCGCTTATTCACCCGTGACCTCCAAAACACGCGGGGGCGGGGGGGGGGGGGGAGGCACCAGCGCCCGCTTCCCATTTCCCCCACTCGATGCGCCACTGGGGACAGGCATCCTGTGGTTTTACATAACGCCAGGCGCGCGAACGATCTGTTTGGAGCTCTCGAGCTAGGCATGAGTTACGCTGCGACCGCTCTGCGCTGGTGGGTAGCACACGACGACGGTCGTCCTTCCAGCTCATTTCTGCGTTCACAGCGAAAATGACATCTGGGAATGGAGTGATCCCAGACACGACGCGTGCGTTGCAGGAATGATATGTAACCCGTTAGTTTACAAAACTCCCTGAAAGGCCAGATATTTGACTAATTATTTAGCTTGAAATATCCGGGAAGCGGTTTTATTTTCAAAATCGACCAGACAGTTCACAAGCTTACTGATAAATTCCTAGCCTGCCCACCTCGCCTGCAAAATATGGGTTGAATTTGCTACGTTCGCCTGCGCCAACAAGTCGCCATTCGGCTGCCTGCACCGCTTTGATTGCCTTCAACACAGGCTGACATTTGACAAACGAACTTTCTGCTTTCGTCATATTAGCAGTACCGACACTCACGTGACCAGAGAAGTAGATGAGGCACATCGTCCTCATTAGTTTTTGCGGACTGCACTGCCTTGGCGGACTGCGCTAACGTGACTCGGCCGTAAGCAAGCTTCCAAACAACACAAACTGTGAGTGTACACAGCGATGTGCCAACACAAACTGTGAGGTACACACCACCAGCGATGGCGTGCTCCGATGGCAGACCGCGTGCGTCGCTCGCCGTGCCAACCACGCAGTCACTGGACGACGTGCCGACCGTGCTGATTCTCGGCAGCTGGCGAGCTGGCGCTGGATCACGCTCAGCTGACGAAGGATCCCCACGCCATTGCCATGTGACCTCGGAGTCGGCTCGGCTAGCGCGCGCACTCAGTCGCGCGGCGGGCACATAGCATCAGTGCCGTTTGTTAATATCGCGACCACCATCCGAGGCGAAACAACATCCCTCCAGCGACATCTGAGAGGAACTGTTGATATTTCTCGCACGAGGAGCACGACATTGCTGCGGGTTTACTCCGGTCCTCGGCCACGGAGCCCGATCTCCATCTGGCGAAACATGACTGCTGAATTTGCGCCAAGGTCGTGATAAACGACACCTTAGTGTTCGTCGTGACCAGGTGCCGCCCGGTAACGTGGCCTGCGGCAGGCGGTCTCCGATGCCGCCGACTGGACGGACACTGCTTTGCGAGTGCTCGCGGCGTTCAGATATGTTGAAGGGATCTTCCGATTTCGTGTCATGTGTCACAACTAGAACTTGAAAACCGAATCATAATGCAGAAGGCAAAATGAACGTGTCATAACTTGTCATGACTCTAAACTTGTCTGCCGTCGGCGCCCGCCGTGGCTGATTCGGGTCTGAATCTGACCTTCGACCTGATAGCCCACGCCTATCCGACCCACACCGTCGTCGGCTTTTCGTACACGCGAACTGCAGAACAAAACGGTGCGTACAAGGAACAGCACGGGGGCGCACGCAGTGTGGAGCGCACAAAACAGACCCAATTTTTCACAAGTCCTTTGAAATGCACGACATTCGAGAGAGTTGGTAATACATAACGCTGTCAGACGTTACTTGCCGCATTATTGTTGCCCATAAAGACATAATTATAGACCAGTACCAAGGACCACACACATTCATCATGAACAACAATAGGCAGCGGACGCCACGCGCCAGCTGGGGCCCCTTAACAATGTCAACAGGACTTACAACGGCACGTCAAAACCCGTTTACAAGAAAACAAAGGACACGACTTCGCTCCGTTCAGGCCATCCCCTGATGCGCCGTGTCCAACCTTAGGCGCAATGCCGCGCCTGCGGACCTCAAACATTGCCTTTCTGGTGACTACAACCGAATGCAGATTTACGCCATTTTCAATAACACAACATGCAATAGCTTGGAAATCTTTAAGCGTATTGCTAGGCGTTTGCACGTAGGGTGTTTGATCAGGAATGTCCTCAGCAACGTTGCATTGCCACTACATTTTCGCCTCCGCATAACATCAACGTGGAAAACATAACAACTTCCCATTCCGACGGCGCTGAGAACATGAATCAAAGCGGGGCCCGTCGCTCAACGACCGGGCGCGGCAGCCAAGCAGACTAGCAAAGGCCAAGCGCCAGACCAGCAGACTCTGACGCGGGATAGAACAGACCATCGTCATGGCAACCGCGTGGGGTTGCCGCGCGCGGCCGCTCGTGTTCTCTTGGGCAAACGACAGATCCGCCCGTTTGGACGTCGCTTAAGGATCAATGTCATACTTAATCAGCCAGAGCGGATAGACACGTGGGACTACCTGAACCCTGTGGCGAATATACTGGCAACAAGCTTGCGATGGCCTGAACTGTGAGATTGGGCCGGAAAGCTGCAAAGGTCTGTAGTCCTGTTTATTGTGACCAATATCGGTCCCGCATACAACAATTCGAAATAACTTAGCAAACAACTGACAACAAACTTACAGGAAATGCTCCATATTTAAAAATGTTGGAGCAAACAAGGTCAGATATGATGAAATAATCTCATCAACTATTAATATACTTTTAAGTGGAAAACACTGCTCTAGGTACCATAATTTTTCTGCTCACTAAATATGCTCCTCCATATGTCATCGTTCGAATACGTCATCGTACCCTGCACAACACTGATTAGGAGCAAATTGACGGCCGATATATCTCAAGATTGTGCTGCTCACGAACACCAGGTATGAACGACTCGACAGCAACAACTCGACAACTCAACGACAACTATGAACAACTCGA